TGATCTACTCCTACCCTGGGTGGTTCTTCACTCTCCCAGACCCAGCCAGCATCCTCTGTGATTTGGGTGGTGTGGTTCGAGGGGTTGCCAGTGAAGACTGAGGCAAAAAAGTTGTTGAAAATTTCAGCCTTCTCCATGTCCTCAGCAACCAGGTCACCCGTATCTTTCCGGAGGGGCCCCACATTCTCTCTCGTTTTTCTTTTTTCTCTCACATACCTATAAAATCCTTTTCTGTTAATTCTAATATCGCTGGCCAGATTTGACTCTGTCAGGGCCTTAGCTTTTCTAACCTGGTCTCTGAGTACACGAGCAACTTCCTTGTACTCATCCCAGGTTACCAGTCCCTGCTTCCATGCTTTGTGTAATGCCCTTTTATATTTGATTTTAGCCAGGAGTTCTTTGTTTATCCATATAGGTCTCCTGGTGTTTTTGCCCGATTTCTTCCTTTTAGGGATGCAATGCCTTTGAACTTGGAGGAGATGATCCTTGAAAGTCAACCAGCAATCTTGGGCTCCCAGTCCTTCCAGGGCTTTATCCCATGGCACACTACCAAGGAGGTTCCTGAAGCGGCAAAAGTCAGCTCTTCTGAAATCGAGGGTTTCAAGCTTGCTGAGCTTCCCCCTCTTAGCTGCCCTTAGGATCTCAAAGTTTAGAGTATTATGTAATGAATCCAACGTAAAAAAAAGATCATTTTAAGTTAATATTTGGAAAATAAGCATGGCACAAGTTTCTTTTTCCAGCAACTGAGATATTTCAGTAATTTGATTCAAAGAAAAGAGCCAAATAATGTACAGAATTTTTAGAGAGTATTTCCTATGGTAAATCCTCCCTTTCTTTAAAAAAGAAGCTTATGTTCTTTGGTTTATCAAGGTTACTGTTTTCTGTCCCATTTTTTAAGAATTTGCTGTGAGATGAATTAGATCTTACTAAGGGATTAGGGAACCAATCTGTTTCTCTATTTTTATTCAAGAAATTTACTTGATCTACTAGAAAATTCTTTTCCAATTAACTGCACCATGCTCTTTTGGTCTTGTAATGGAAACAGCATCAATTTAGATTCTGTGTAGATACAAATAAATCAATTTATTTTCGTTAGAATAACACTGCTCTCCTGTGTCTTTGGTGTCTGTTCCTCTTTGCCAGCTTGTCTTGACTGGAGCTATTCAGGTGGCAGACAAGGTGTCCTCGGGCAGGAGCTCCGTGGTGGTTCACTGCAGTGACGGCTGGGACCGGACGGCACAGCTGACGTCGCTGGCCATGTTGATGCTCGACAGCTACTACAGAACAATCGAAGGCTTTGAAGTTCTGGTGCAAAAAGAGTGGATAAGCTTTGGACATAAATTTGCATCGGTAAGAATTAGAAGATAATTTCAGGGACCATGCAACATTAAAAGCTTTCAGTGTTAAACTACTCATTGTGTCAAGGTTTGATAATTCTTTATTTTATTTTGGAATTCTTATTTAAAACATTTTCAGCTAAATATGAGCAGAGCTTTTGATTTTGGACTTTTTCCATTAATATTTTTTCCCTATTCTTTCTCTGAGAACTCATATTTTGTCCTTTATACTCTTTTAAAAGCACAGAACTGCTAGGGTTACTGTGGTTATTGAGCAAAGAAAATGAGAAGGCAGAAAAATTATGTCCTCCCAAACTTTTTCAGAAGGAGATCAAATAAGGTTGGGATATAAGGCTTCTCCCTCACCCTCACTTTGAACTATTTTGAATGTCATGAGAGGCAGATGAATGAATCTGGCCAATGTCTTTTAAGTGATATTTGAACACTCCTTCCCAAATGTTCTAAACTTGTCATAATAGCTCTCTAGGGTGTCACTGGTAATGCATGGTCTAAGTCTGTTCAGTCGTCTTCTAGATGCTTAGAAGGTTAAGTAGAAATTGTTTATAGCAAGTCCTTAGTTATAACGCAAAGTCAAGGGTGTTTGTGTTAGGAAACTTTTCAGAGTCATAGTGGAACTCCTTTTCAATTTGGCAGCTAACCATCTAACCAGGAAATCTATACGAGGAACCTGGAGAAGCAGAGTAGGTTGCCAGGGGGAGTGTGCTGGTATATGTAAATACAGAACATAAGTTGGGAGCTTTACAAGTGTTACTTGTGGATGCTGAACCTTGATATTCACAGTAAGAAGCGTCCACACCTTCAGTAGTTGTTTGCACAGACAATTTGTCCCTAGTGGAATATTATAAAGATATTACTATCTATTAATATTGCTAAAATTAGTAACGTAGGCAATCTGGAAAAATGTACCTCTGTGTGTTTTATGCCCATTTTAGATTTGCAAGTGTGTCTCAGTCATCTGGAGATCCTTGTGTAGCTACTCAGCATGAATCACTTCACCGTTTGAGTGTGCTTGTAGGCTGCAGCAGTCTTTGATCTGACATTCTACGGGTGCTTTGAGGCTCAGATTTACATTTTGATTCTTGTGAATGATAGTAGTCCAGTTTTTTGTGTACTTACCTGTAGACTTCTAGTAGAGATGTGTTACATAAACCTTTGAAGTATTCTGTCTTGGTACAGCCACGAGAAAACACTGGCTTGCCTTTTTATTCTCATTGTATTTTATTTTGTATTTTTAAAAAAAATGTTATAGTCACGATGCAGATAAAATTAGATTGTGTCCCTGCAGACTTGTAGCCTAGCACATATGCTGTGATTTAGCACAAACCTTAGAGATCTGTGTGTCCTTCACCAATACATGTGAATAATCTATGATTCTTTTTATTAAAACATTCATTTTAGTTTGAGTAATCAAAGGAGCTTGTTCTCTCTCAACAGATAATGTTTTTCTCTTATTAGTGAGGTAGGGCTTTTACAGCCCTTCCAGATGACTAGCTCAGTCCACTGATTCATCTCTGGCAATGTAGCAGCAGTAAGGGTGATTTAAATAGCTTGTTCTTGCTTAAACTACTGTTACATTTTCCCAGCTTGCTCACTCAGGTAATAATCTCTGGACATGTCCTCTAGCCATCTGCTGTTTTCTGAGTACTATATATTTTGATTTGATGGGTTGTTTAGCTTATAGTGAAGATGGTCCTTTTCTGGAGTGTTCTGTAGAATGAAAACTGATAATGCAAGCAGAAAATGTTTTGATCACTCTGTTTTAGTTTGGTAATTATTTGATAAAACGGCAAATTTTAATAGTGAGGACTAGGCACATCAGTGCAGTTAGCGTTTCCTGAACCCAATCTCTGAAACTATCCTTGTTATGCATTCCGTCAAGTGGGGAGTTGGAGAAGAGTAGGGTGTTTCTTACATTGTCTGGGGTAGAGCAAGCTTCATGTTTTCATGTTCCCAGGGTTGCAGTTGGGATGCTTTAACGACAAATAACTAAGCAGTAGGCTAGTGAGTAGTTCTCTGTTTTCTATCTAACGAAGCACAAAATAAGTTTCCCTGTTGAAAAGTACTTTCCTACCCCAACTCTTCTATGTATAGTATTAGCAAGCTGATATAAATTACTACTATAGTACGTATAGTATACGTATTAGCAAGTTATTTTATCATCTGGATAGTGCACTATGTGCAATGTCATTCTAATATAGGAAATATGAGACATAGACATAATTATTGATGGAAGATACACAGACATCCTAAAACTGCTAACCAGAGCAAAAATGGAAGGACTTTCACTCCTTACTGAACACATGTATAACTGTTAACTGGTTCCATGTATTTTAAACCATGAAAACTGGAGAGCAAGGAGCCCAATTTGTTTGTCTTCCCTGTAGTGCTTTTCTAGTCATTTGCTACTGTTGACTGAGTTCAGCAACAATCCCTCATCTTCTTCTATGTCCTGCCATGCAATTCTATTAGTTTAAACTATCTTGCAGATCGTTATACAGAGTAGTGTACTGATTTTATCATTTTCCATGTCCTTAAGACATGAAGCCTGCTATCTTACAGGCAGAGGCACAACATCTTAGTTCAACACACATGCTCTTCTTTTGTCTCCTCCAGGCAAGTCTATTCAAGCAGAATTAGGAAGTTAATAGAATCTCTTTTCCCTGAATCTCTTATCTGTTCTCAACTATCGAATATGAAAAGAAAGGAAACAGCTTTTATGAAACCTATTTATTGTCTGTGGGGAGAATTCCTTTGATTGTTACTTTGGATTCCTCAGAATAAGTGACTCACTCAAATTTTTTAAAAAGTGCTTTAATTTTCTGTCAAGAACGTGAATGTTTCTTTGAACTTGCTTATGTTCACTCTCTACCTCAGGATGAATCTTCAGGTTTAAGTGTGGAGGAGGAAGAGGAGAATCTGTGTGGATATTTTGATGATCTAGGTTCTCCAGTGGCTTAAATGACAAAAGAAGACAAAGTATATAACTTGGCTTTTGACAAACTTATTACATAAATATAGTTCAAGATACATGTTGATTATTTGCAAAGTAATGGTTGCTTTAACAGTTCTGCTTGTCCAATAACAAGCAGGTTTTGTAACAGGACTAGTTATCACTTCGGAATTTTTCTCAGACATCTTTGGAACACTTTTGCAGCATTTCTGTATATCTGAATCTCTCCTCCTTGGTGCAATAACTAATTTTGAAATCATAAGAACAGGTTGTTCTATTACAGAAGCATTAATATTCTACTGCAAAATAAGAAGCAATGTCTATTGGCCATAAAATAGACTGTTTTGGTTAACAGGAGGCTGTATTGCTTCATTTCAGAGAATAGGCCATGGTGATAAAAATCATGCTGATGCAGACAGATCGCCCATCTTTCTCCAGTTTATTGACTGCGTGTGGCAGATGTCTAAACAGGTACGTTATATCATTCTTCAGAAGGTAACATTAAGAAATTACTGAATTAAAAAACTAAATCTTAATTTTTTAGAAAAGTATTTGAAGAGGACAGCATACCCCTCTGCAGTCAAAAAGAGTGTATTTGCTTTTAAACCATGCCATCTCTCTACTCTATTTCTAAAAGTTGTATACAAGCTGTAGTTACGTTGCTTAACGTGGCATTGACTGTGCATGCAAGGCTGGTGTCTTGGATATGGGCTTCTCAGAAACATACTGAGAGGTGCGACCCAGCAGAATGCTTTTACAGGAATTTCATCCCACTGTTTTAGTAGGGTGCCTTGTTTCACTGTGCTAGTGAAGCTGTCCCTTGAACTACAGGGACAAATGTTGTTTTGTCAAAGCTTGAAAAGGAAGTTCGGGAGCTGTTGAGTGCTGTGATTTTAAATGTTGTCTTTTCAATAAGTAATGAAGCAAAGCAGCAAACTTAGTGTTTAGGGCCAAGGATTAGGGGCTAAACCCTTATTTTCCTGTATGGTGCTGCACTATGGATATGTTACCCTGTAAGATAGATAAAAATCCTAGTAAAAATGTAACCATAACCACTCTATTTTATTCTTCTTTTTAGAAATTAAAGGCAGTCAGAACAGTTTGAGAAGATTTCAGTAACTAGTGTGAGAAAGTTAAACACCTCTTGTCATCTGAACGCTTACTCTGCTATGGAATGTATATAAAAGTGTTACCTTAAAAATTATTTGTAGATGTATTCAGGTTTCTAAATGCCACCTTTAGCCTCTTAACCAGGGCATGTGCATCTCTCCCTGCTTTTATGATGTAAAGAACGAATCGTCTTTTCTGTTGTTAGTTTCCAACGGCCTTTGAATTCAACGAGCAGTTCTTGATTACAATCCTGGATCACTTGTACAGCTGCCGGTTTGGTACTTTCTTGTATAACAGCGAGTCTCTTCGAGAAAAAGAGGTTAGTCAAACCACTGATCGTTCAATTGTATTGCTGTGTCGACTGTGGATGATTCCAAAAAGTTTTGGTTGTGTTGTATTTGGTTATATTCCTTGTATGACAGTGGCTTTGAATTGACTTTATTCCTGTTGTAGAATAGTTGCATGGTAAATTCCTTGTTTTAGTAGCTTAAAAACTGTGCAGTCACTAAAATACTTGTCAAGCACTGGTTTTGGAATATTTCTGATGTTACTGTATCAGAAGTGTGTTAATTTTAGAATGTAAGCACAGCTTCTGTGATGGATTTCCTGATTTTGTGCAAATATTTACTGTTCTTGTTTCAATTTCATTTTAGAAAGTGGCTGAGAAAACATTATCGTTATGGTCTTTGATAAACAGTGAAAAATCGAAATACACCAATCCTTTTTATACTAAAGAGCTAAATCGAGCACTCTATCCAGTAGCCAGTATGCGTCACTTAGAGCTCTGGGTCAATTACTACATCAGGTGGAACCCAAGAATTCGGCAACAAGTAAGTCAATTCTCTATAATGTACAAAATGCTTTTAGGCTTTGGAAACAGGAGTTTGTGGCGTAACTGTCTTGTGGAATAGTACCTGTAATCTGTTCAGCTTTACAGTATTATGTTTGTAAAGATAAGAGAAAAAAGGTGAAAATGATTAATCAGTTATTTCAGTTCTCTCTTTTCTTTTTTTTTTTCCTCTTTTTAACTTAGCTCTTGTCAGAACACTGAACTTATTTCACTGCTTAGTATCGAGTCAATCTCAAGCTCCTTCTAGCCCCTCTGCTTGGGGACAGGGCTTGGGGGAGCGTTTTTTAAGGGCATTTGTGCTACTAAAGGGTGAATGACAAAGCTTAGAAGTAGGGTTTAGTGATCCCTGAGGAGTTAAAGCATTAGCATCACAAACACGCTTAGTTGCATTTGCTTAGTCTTTCTCCTTTTTCTGAGAGTGTGTGTGAAGTCTTTTACAAATTAAGATGACCTGCGCGGTCCTTTCTCTTTCAAAACCGCTTTCTGTATTGATGGCTTATGGTAAGATATTTTTTGTATATAATTTGATGACCCAACATTGTTTACACTGTCTATCTGTTGGATGAAACCTGTTATTGAAAATTATACAAGTGAATCAGATTGGAGACCCAGAAAAGCTTTTATCACATTACACATAGTTCACTTCTGTGCTTTTAATGTTTAATATATGGACACTCAGTTTGTTACAGTCTTGCTAGAAATCTCAGCAATGTGGCACGTAAAGCTACTATACAGAGACTCATTTGTCCTTCTTAACAAGTTGTGGAGTTTTGAGTAGGAGAAGACAGAGGAGCGATTCCTTTGACAGAGGCAGTCTTCACAATCCAGCCCCTGGAATGAATCAGGAGTTTTCAAGCAATGCAATTCCTTTTCCACAGCGTGTCTCCTGTATTATTTATAACACTTTAGAGGCTGCAAGAAAGCCAGACAGTTTGCTATATTTTCTTACAAGTATGTTGCCCGTTTTAATTTGAAGTTCTTTTTAAAGCTTTTGTTGTTTACTATGAAAGATGAGGGCATTTTGCAAAAAGTGAATCCAAAGATTTATTTTAGAAAGTGAAGGATTATAGGGCATGCAAATTAGCTGTAAATCTACTTAAAAATGCGCTTTGCCATTATTCAGGAAAGGTTTTTGGCAGGAATTTCGTATTAGAAATGCAAACCCATGGGATAATCTTCTATGCTGCTGCTACTGGTCCCTCATTTTCACCATTTTTATACACGAAATGCAACAAATTTTTTTGCTGCACACAAAATATGCACTTCATCTTGACTTAAGCAGTTGAATAGTGGACATGTGGCCTGAACTAGTTTTCCAATGACCTTTCTTAGTGCCATTACTTAAAGCATTTTCTGCATCAGACTTCGGTCTAATGAAGAGTCTGGTCTGTCACTAGCAACATCATTAACCCTCCATCTCTAATCATCTTATTAACTGCATTCAGTCATAGATCCATAGTTGCTTCACCATTCCTCGCTGTCCTCATCTGGGGTGCCTGGCGAATGGTGCACCTGCGAGTGCTGGTTCCCCTGTTCTTGAACTGGTGAGGTGTTTATATGAGCTCCTGGAACTGTGCTGCTAATAGCTTTTAATTACAGGCAGTTAGCTGTGAAACAGCAGCACCTTCTTGACAGGGATACACAGCTGAAGGTAACTCTAGGCTCTGTGTCTGCCTTGGACATTTGTGATACTTCTCTTCCATTTGTTTCTTTGTCTGAAGAAGGAAGCTAAGCTTAAAATGGAAACAGTTAGGATGCTCTTTCTGTAAGTTGTCTCCTGAAAACTAGGGCAGTTGATTTTAAACGTACTCAAGTTTACTTACAGAATTCACTAATAAAGTTTTTCATTTATTTCACTTGTTTATTTACAAAATTTACTATTAAAAACCAAAGTAAATTTCATCATTTAATCTCAGAGACATGGATTTCATGTGAATCTGGTCAGTGTACCTAAAATAGTCAGTCTGGGTAAACACTGTTTCTAGGGAAGATGAAGAGACATCTGATCTCTGGAATCTAAACCTTTCAATAAGTCAAGAGGAGGAAAGCTTTGGACAAGGCATTCACACCTATCTTCCACACAATGTTAGATAATAAGAAAATAAAATCTGTATGCTCCTGGAAATGCTGGCTGATTTTATTGAGGTAGGAAGAATTGTTTTGTGTAAAGATTTTCTTTGGATGAGAACAAGTGGAACGGAGAGGGCTCTTGCATTGTAGGAATAAGTTTTTCTGTTCAGCTGCAACTTGTTACATGTATTGGAAACTACAGATGTTGAGTAGTGCCAGGAAAACACAAATACTACAGCATCCTGACTGTGTAGGAGGAGTTGGACTGAAGTGATAAGACTAATACAGATCTCTTTCTAGCAGCCAAATCCAGTGGAGCAGCGTTACATGGAGCTCCTTGCGTTACGTGACGATTATATAAGGAGACTTGAAGAACTACAGATCACAAATAATTCTAAGATATCCAATTCATCAGCCTCATCAGCATCTCCCTCACAAATGATGTCCCAAGTGCAAACACATTTTTGAAGAAAGTGTTGGCTTCGTTCTATACTGTAATAGCAAGCGGTGCTTAACATAGATCTATAGCATAAAGAGGAGTATTTTAATGCCTTACATTAGACTGTCCTAACACAAATTATTTTAGACTGTCTTCATTTGAGGATGACTTCGAAACAAACAAAACCAACTCTTCAATTACGTGCCTTTCCGAACTTGTGGACTGGGAACATTATTAATCAACTTCTAGTTATGGAGGGCTTTAAGAGTTATTTTGGAAAGTCTGGTACAATTGAAATTGAAATGATTTATTGTTTTCATAAGAATGCTTTAATTTATTACAATGTAGGTCATGTTCCTGTAAGGAAATTTATGCTCAGCCTTACACGTCATGAATAAACACATTAATGGCAATAGGAATATTCACATTGTGTAAAATTAGGTCTGTGTGTATTCCTGTTAGGAATACGTTTGTGGAGTTCATGAGATGAAAATAAATTCTACTGTAAGATTTCAGAGAGAAATGTTGAAATTTTCTGGTTACCTGAGAATTCTAAATTTTCCTTTTTCAAAATCAATAAAAATGGAAAATTCTAAAACTATGGAAGCAATTTCACTGATATGCTTCTAATTAAAAAGTTCAAAAAGCTCAGTAGACATCAAAATAAAAGAAAAATGTATTTTTTTTATTGTGAATTGATTTATATTGGTTTTTTTTAAACAAATGACAATTGTACTGGATTCTGAGAAGTCCTGTTTTGGCTAACTGTTCAGCACTAAAGTATATTACAAATTATCACTGTTGGCAATATTGATTGAATTAATGTAGAATAAAATGGTTCTAAAGAAGGTTTATATAATTAAAAACAGACCCACAGAGAGACATTGCTTAAATATCCAGCAATAGCCACAGTATTAAAGCTTTTGTTTGTCTTCTAAAGGTAAATGTGCCTGTTTAGAGGAGCTTTTATACCAAAGTAGGCAAAAATTTTCAGTTATAAATATGGTTGAAAACTTGTACATTTATATCTTACTGTTTAATTTAACTTCTGCTCAGTGAATTTATTCTTAAGAATTTAAGGGACTCCAGTATACAAGATCTGCATATAGTGTGTGCTCTTACATTGAACCTTCCAGTGAATTCTGGTTCCAAGCCTTCATTTCAGAGGCTTCTTGTAAACCTTTAATTTGTTCCTTTCAGGTATTTTTTAAATAGTTGCAAGCATTTCTTATGACAGCACAAACCTTGCTACTTGATATTTAATTAAAATTTTGCATATTCTCGAAAGTTTAATGATAATGCAGGCAATCCAGGAAATACTGCAATTCAGAATCTGTAGAGGACTCTATCTAATATTGTTATTTTAAAGGAGATATTTTTGATGCTTGAGGCTTCTGTCATTGTAAATTATTGTACATGTGGTGAGTTTTGATCTGCAAGATATAATAGGATTATATATAAAGTTTTGTGTAAGTATATATAATATAGTTTATTAGAAATTCTGCAAGTTTATAATAAAGTGTAAATATTTTGCATATGAAAACTAAATTTAAAGCTATAGTTCCATAAAATAAGTCAAAGTTTAGAGGACATCTGAATATTTCTAGAACAGTATTTTTTCAAAGGAATAAAAGTATACCGCCTCCTGGTTTAATTCAGTATATACACTGAATTGCACTATTTTTTTTCAGGGAAGCTCAGAGCATACGGCATGTGTGTTCTAAATACACATGATTTTATGTGACTTATTTGTCCTCTAAATTTCATTCTCCCATCAATGTTCTTCAGTATGTGTTTCCAAAATAACAACATTGTCCCAAAATCTTGACTTGTTAAGGTAAAAAAGATGTATTACATCAGATAAATGAAGGATACTCAATTGTTCCTGATATATTTCACATTTTGAAAGCTATGCATACTCTGGTATATTTGCCTTCTACTTACTTGTGGTTTATATAAAAAAAAAAAGCCATTTTTATTAGAATATTTAAAGTTTCTGTATTTGAGTTGAACGTATTGGTGACATCTCAGCAGTTTGGAGAAGTTAAAAAAATCTGATTGTTTTTACTGTGTAAACACTACGTGAATAACCTGTTGCATTTGGGAAAGTATAATATAATGGAAAGGATCTTTTTGCACTTACTTCATTACATATGTACCATTCTTCATATTACTGGTTCAGTCGAATTTTGGTCTCTGAAGCTCTCTAACATAGCTTTGTGCGGGCTTGAAGTTTTTTCCAGTCAGCAGATGAGATACTTGTTTTAATTCTGTTTTTACGTGGCAAATTAGGCAAATGTAGAGGTGTTTTTAATCCAGTACTTTCTGGAAAATACTACTTCAAAGCTATGGTGAAGACAGGCATGCGAGCTGATCAGTGTTGACAGAAAACTTGTCTCCGTTCTCCTTAGACGCGAGCTGCGTTTAAGCGGGGAGAGCGTTCCGGCATTGGGTGCCCTTTCCAGGAGGCGTAAAAAAGCAGGGCTGGGCTGTCAACACCAGCAGCTCTAAGTGCCCAGTATGAAATGTCCATCTCGGAATGGTTTTTGTTTTTTCCTTTCTGTACTCTTACTTTCATGGACCTGCGAAGATAACGTGTTTTTTGTGCTGGGCCTCAGCTGCTGATTTAGAAAGTTTATTTGTTGAACGCCGCCTCACCGGTGTGGGTGTGCCCCAGCCATCATCTGCGTGCTCCCTACCTCCTTCTGTGTGTTTTTGTCTCCCCGTGACCGTTTTGTGTTATGCTTGAGAGAACAGGTTTTTATTTCCGACCGGGACTCTCCTCGCCTCCTCCTTGCTGCTCCCAGTAACGTTCCGGCCGCCCTCGCTGGATGCCGCAGGATTTGCTCCGGAGCCGGGTGTTTGCCTGTGGGGCGGGGGGGGAGCGTGACACCATCGGTCGCGTCTGTCTGTGAAGGGAGGAAAAATAAAATCCGTTTCAAACCCGTTGCCTCTGACAGACGTTTTCATGGCGCCCTGAGG